CACAGCGTGCAGCGTGATCCAGACGCATCGCAAGTGACCGCGTCTGCAGCGTGATGCGAATAACCCAGTAGCTACTGCTCAGCGTCGTGAGCACGAGTGTGAGGCTTTGTACTGGAATCGCTGGAGTGCACTGAATGACGATACTCCCCTCTGCAGTAGAGAGTTTTGCCGTACACCCAAGCGAAAAAATATTGCTAAGCGCTCCAATCGCGCCTAGATACAACAACACCATTGTACCGGGATGTTCCAACGCGCCGTCTGCTGGGTCGCACTGTAGCAGCTCGAATAGTCCAAGTCTTATGGGTGGAGGAGCGTTCTTTTCGAATGATTCAGCTGTAGTTCGATATACGCTGTTACGGATAAAAATCCAGACGCTTTTGAGCATGAATAGGTACTCTAATGCGTAGTACGAGGCCCCGATTAAGTTGAGAATCAGTAAGAACGTTCGGATCTGTCGACTCGTGTTGTCTTGGATTCGAATACGTCGATAGGTTATCGTGGTATCAATCATGAACCACTCGATCTGACGCAAGTTGTCTTGCTCCAGTAGCTGGTTTTCCGGTGTACTACTAGGTGAGATCAGTGCTGCACACGCTGGGAGGTCAATTAGACTTCCATTTAGAGTTCGAAATTGTATCTCTTTCGACGTCATGAAGAGTCGGCAAAGTATCTGATGTTCGGTCTCCTGGGAGTCTCGGAATGCACAATTACCCAGTCCATCTCCTAAATACGCTTGGTACTTTTGAACGTTGCGACCGCCCTGTTGCATCACGGAGTCGACAACACCTCGGCAATCAGGTGTGTACAAATAGCCATAAGGTGTCGCTGCAGGTTGCGATGGCGTAGGTGTTCGATCTTTAGTCCAGGCGTTGCCGTCCATTACTAGGAGCGGCGCGTCTGTCAGTAACTCTGGGATATCCAGGGCCACATACCCAGCAGTAGTCTCGCGACGCCGACCAAGGGTGTAGACTGTGGTATTATCGAGCTTTGTGTAGTCTCGATCGTCCTCTTGGAACAGAAACATCAGATTCACCGCGAACGTAGGGACAATTACTGATACGTCACGTCCACACTGCTTGATTGCTGCGGCGTCGAAATCATCGACTGTTATTGTCTTGGCCATTGTTGTATGTTTGATAGCACAATTCCAGAACGCCGCCAAGTGCATCGTCGATACCAAATGCATTCCTACCGTATTAATCAGGAAATCCGACGTGAAAAACGTCGCCGTAACATGCGTCACTTCCGCCAGAATCGCAGCCTCTCCATTCACATTAACCCCCATCGTAAGTTGCTGAGTATCAAGGTAATACTCCAGCAGAGCACGAACACCTAATACGTCGACTAAAGCCACATGGTTCGCGTCGAAAGAACCTGGTAGCAGCTTAATCACATCTATCAAGGGGATACCTTTACTGTAGCGATCAACTATAGCCTCTGCAACGGCGTTAGTGAACTCTGGCAACTCCGAACCCATGTATCCTTCTTGCACGTTCTTCATTATCTTGCGAACTACGAGTTCGTCGTTGAAGTGGCGTAAGTAAATCTCCGACATGTTGACCACAGCAATTAACCCAAGCGTAACTTCTCCGATAGACGACAAATTGGCATCGACAGGAGCTTTAAAGAACCGATCGAGTGGAAATTTGTCGTGAAAATCTTGACAAAATTCGTGACGTATAGCTGGAAACCAATTGCCGAATAAATGTTGCGGTTGCGTCTCCCATGACGTTCCGGGTCCACATAGCGGTGCCAGAACGTCTACCATGAGATCTACTGATTGTGTCAACGTTTCTTCCGGTAAACCGGTGAGTAGATCATCTCGACGAATATTTCCACGAACCAGGAGGTCTGTAAGTGAGAGATTGGACGCTGTAGAACGCGCTAGATAAGACTTGGTGTTCGAGTCGATGAGAGGGAAGAGCGGTCGCTCGAATGTGTCGAAATAGTGCACACCACTGATGACGACGCCAATGTGGTTGAGTTTTCTCGCAGTAACTTCGTTCCGTATCTCGTCGAACGGTTTAGTGACGTAGCTGCCGAGGTAGTACTCCTTGAACGGAATAAGGCTGACACCTAGGAAGACGAGAAGGAAGATGGAAACGCACGTTCTGTATGAGATCTTGTAGTCACGGAGCAACCATCTGGATGCTTCTACTTTGTCGCATTGTTTCAAGGGGATTTCTGGCTTCGAGGGTCCTACAGTTGGTAGCGGCCTCACCGCTACATTCGCCCTGCTGTCCCTCTTTATCATCCGTCCCTGGATATGACTTTCTGCCAGGTCACTAGAAGAGTTAGCGTTTGTTGTGAAAGCTTGTATTGATCGTTACCAATGTCAACGGGTGCTTGAAATAACAAGACAAATAAGGTTGGACAAGTCTGAGCTAAAGAAGGCAGATTTATTTTTATGAACACGTGTCCACCGTGGCGAGTACTATAAACCCTGTTATTGCTAGGA